AAGTGTCAGCGGATCTCTTTTCCCATGCCGGCAACCATTATCTTGTGCATGGTGATCGCCTGTCCAACTGGCCTTGCACTGCGTTGTGGTACCGACACGATCCCACCTCCCGATATATCATCCAGATTCTCCGGGGGAATTTTGGTGCATTGGGCGTTCCGACAAAGTTTCCTTCGGATGTTGGCCCCCAATTAACTTCAAAGGAATTCACCCACTTCATGACCCAGTGGGGTGCTCATCACCTACTGTCCAGCCTCCATTTCCCACAATCGAACGGCATGCACGAGTCTGCTGTTCGCGCTATGAAGCACTTGGTCTCGATGTGCACGCACCATGGCAATCTTCAGGACGAGGCTTCGACATTACCTTAGTGGATGGTGCCACACCCCTATGCAGCGGGCGTGTCATCCGCCCAGATGCTATCCGAACACCCGCTACGCTTGTCCCGGCTCATTGACATGTATTCAAGCCTTCATGGAACCAAGCTGCCACCTCCCTGGATCGAGATGTCACCACTCAGAAAGCTGCATCCGAGTATGACCGATCGGCTCACCCACTCTAACCCATGGCTGACGGATGCCAGATACTGGTGTAGAATCTTCGCAAAAAGTAGGCTGACCAGGTCGGCACAACCATCCGTATTGGTCGTACTCACAGTTACTATGTCCGCCTCCCAGATGGCCGTGTGCTCTGGCGCAACCATCGGTACCTCCGTCCGGTGCCACCCCAGTCAGCCTCCAGTCCCCAGTCAGTCTCCTCCAAGCTCGGACAACACGTCGGTGCTCCCTCAGGCCACAGAGCGGACACCCAGCACCTCTTCGGTCTCCTCGGTTACCCTCCGGCAGCATAGCACCCCCAGCAGGAAGCCACCATTGCCCGTTTGGCCTTGCGAAATAAAAATAAAAATCAACAGCAACAACAACAACAGACTCCAAGATCTTTTCTGTTCTCATCAGCTTATTCCGTTATTTGTCTCCTCTTTGTATCTTCAAACCAGAGAGTGATACAAGTACTACTCCCTGCCTCAAACTGAAATCATTTTTTCTCTGATTTTTCCATTCAGTCTTGCAGCTTGGGAGGCAAACGGGGAGTTGATGTGTATGTGTACGTGACGTCAAAGAAACGGCTTTGCCACGGGTCAGGGCAACCCTGCTAGTTAGCTCTTAAAAATAAAAATAAAAAGTTTCATGAAAAAGTCAGTTGCTTGTCCAGGATTCCTTGTGCTGTTTGAGAGCGAGTCGGACATGTGGAGGCGACTGTAACCGCATTCCCGCCACAGAAGAAATTAGGCGGCGTGCATCCTGATTGTACAGTCATGTTACTGTACATTCTTGATGACGACACAGGCCAGTACCCTGTATACAGTAGGTATCGGCAAGAGTAGATAAACAAGAGTGTGCAACTCCGGATCTCTCCTGCACAATCTGCAGATACCCCCGCCCACGGCGGAATTTTTTGTTGACGTCACCTTTTTTTCAGAAACGCGGACTTTGCCGCAGAGCAGTGTGAGAGCACGTGCTGGGCACCGACCTTGTAGTGCAAAGCCCGGCCAAGTGCACGAGGGAAACCTCTCCAAAAGGCTCGCAGTGCGTGCGTCGTCGAAAAGATTACGTCAACAAAAAATTCCGCCGTGGGCCAACCCATCCGCGAGTTGCACACTCTTGTTTATCTACTCTTGGTATCGGTTATAGCGTGGGTGTTTGAAGAACGACTTTCTATTCTTATTTCCGATATTTCTTACACGCGATAAATCAAGTGTGACTTATCGAATGCATGTGCGCAGACACAGGATGGCCATCATACATACAACGCATCACTGCTGCGCATGCGGGTGTTCCATACGTTTGCCATGCGGCTATGCAGCATGGGATACATGACAACAACAATTGAACCTGCAGCATCAGTACGATGCAATGTGAGTCAGAGCAGAACTGCATTGGCCAGATGTTATTACTACTTAGTACAGGCGATACACTTTGTACTAATCTCAGTGCCGGTATGTTCTCAGTGGTATGTTCTCAGTGGTATGTTCTCAGTGGTATGTTTTGCTACACAAAGTCCATTCTTTCCACTATGCGATAACATTGCTTGTACACGTAAGAATAAATGTTCACTTGAAACCCATGTTATGATTATGAAAGTACATGTATGAGAGGTCATTCTTGTAAGCAGTATTATTCTTTTACACGACCACGCTATAACCCATACGCACTGTACATGATTGTATAGGTACTTCAGTACATTGTACTATTTTTTTTTTTTTTTTTTTTTTTACGAGTTGGCACCTATGAATTCAGGGGATGGCCCACGCCTGGTAAAAAGAAAAAGAAAGAAAAAGAATGTCTGGCACCTATGAATTCAGGGGATGGCCCACGCCTGGTAAAAAGAAAAAGAAAAAAAGAAATCATATTAACAAAGAAAACTAAAGAAAAAAGAATGTTTGGCACCTATGAATTCAGGGGATGGCCCACGCCTGGTAAAAAAGAAAAAGAAAAAAAAGAAATCATAACAAAGAAAACTAACTAATAGCGAAAACAATACAGCCATATAACAAGAGGTGAGGGTTAACCCAGACGACACTCAGCATTCACTAGAGCTGAGGGGCACTCCAGCTGCTGATCCAAAGGTGCTCGCCTGGATCGATGACCTCTTAAGCTTGCAATCGCCGATCTGATGAGGGCAAACCCTAGGCGGCAACGAAGGTGAGCCATCACCATGGAGAACGGTTCCTTCCGCTTCTCAGCCAGCATTGATGCAATGCGCTTGAGGAAAGCAGAGGCAGCCTTGCCTTGACCACCGGAGGCACAAAACACCAAGGGGACGAACGATGCCTTCTCTACTTCCCTAACACGCTCTTCATAGTGTCGCCGTTTCTCCTTCTCGTGCTTAGTGAACGTGCTGTTGAGGGAGGGAGCGGTGTTCGATCGGACAAAAGGGTTAAATACCCGGACATCAAAGAATGTCCTCTCGAAACGGCCGCCCCACACCCCGCTGGCAGCAACATCTAGGCGGGCGCCATCCTCGCTGATTGCAGTACGATACCTCATCCGTTCCCCGGAAAGTGGCTGGAGAGACGGCTCCACACTTACGTCATGTGCGACGCGTGAAAGCAGTGAGGCGGTGATGTCTCGCAGCTCGTTATGCCGGAGTGACGGATACCCTCCAATAGGGCACGACAGGGCATGCGCGGTGCTGAATGCCTGACCACAGACGCAGGTGGACGGCAGCATTGGGGGGACCCAGCCATAGCGAACATGGATGGCGTCGCGAAAGCCAGCCTTGCTGAGGGAAAAGCCGTGGACTTTCAGTGGCCGGCACGTGAGCCAATTGGAGGCCCCCTTCAGCGAAGCAAGCTCCACACAACGCTGCAATTCCTGTGAAGCGGCTGAGACGACATCCTTGGCGATGGTTGACTCCTTATTCCGCTGTCGGCTGCGGACTTCGGACTTCCTGTGCAGCGTAAGCTGCGTGACGTCGGGCAGGTAGGACATGCCAGAGAGGATTCCCTCAACCAGCGTTTGGGTGATGTGGCAGGATGAGTGGAACTGTTCTGCTAACGAAGAGACGATGATTAGTCCCAGGCCACCCAAACGACATGGTAGAGCCAGGATCTTCCGTTCGGCAGAGCCTGGAGAGGGGCGACCGAGGAGGGCTGGGAGTAGCAGGTGTACAACCGCCTGCTCCAAGGGCTCCAGCAGGGTAGCTGTGTACATGTACTATACAGGGTGACGGAGCCACTACAGCAAGGACGTATGTGTACAGTCATGTACATGTATGTGTACATGTATGTGTCAAAACACGACCAACTAGTCACCTATCAAAATAATATTCAAACCACTTCAGATTTTTTTCTGGCTCATGCCAGGTGCTGTCATGACATGCATGGTAAGTGACATGTACAATGCCAGGCTTGAAACGACCGTTGGGCTATCCCTTGGCGCTCGAATTAGTTGGTAGATTCTGCTTGGAGAGCAGTGAAATATTAATTGGCAGAACCATGCCAGAAAAATTACCAAATTCTGCCAATTAATAGCTGCGGGCATTTATATCTGCAAAGCGTTGATGCAATCATACTTCAAGTAGAACTCGCAAGCGGTCTACAAATACATAACAAGCCGGCGAGGGGACAATTTTTTTTCGAGAGAGACATGCAGGCCTCTTTTACAAAAATCCTATAATCGATAGAAATAATGTGTATGCACTCATGCCACAACACCAGAGGAACAATAAGTACGGATTTTAACGTCGGTTTCATGTGACTTTCATCAAAAGCCTTCTATAGTGCTAATTCTAGGATATCCGCAGTGTTTCTCATTATTAGATTTAGATCCGATATTATTCACTTGATTGTACCGTAAAAATAGTTGCTTTGTAGTCTAACTCTCAGAGTGACAACGATTTCTGATGAAAGTCACCTTAAAACGGCGTTAAAATCCGTACTTATTGTTCCTCTCGTGGTATGAGCGCGTATACGTTATTTCTATCAAAAATACATAACACATCACCACCTATCCCAGTTGCTCAAGCAGTAGCTACTTCAACAATGCTGCTGTTCTGTTCTCTGCCGCAAAACACATCCACCCCTCCCTTCTCCAAACCCTGGCGGCTAGCGCCATGCAGTAGCGCAAGACCAGCTCAGGAAATAAAACATTGCTACTACTAGCGCCTGCCACAGACCACAGCTTCATCGTTGAACAGGATAGTACACACACGCACGCACGCACGCACGCACGCACGCACACACACACACACACGCACGCACACCATTGGACGCCCATCGCCGGAGGCGATGATAGCGATGTGACAGCAGAAGCCATAGCAGCTTGTGCTGGGATTGCACTATTCAACAGATTGCAAGGCTGAAGAATTGACCGCCACTATTCAGCCTGGTCTACACCACACAGCTATGAAGTGACTTTTTCTGGCCAGTGAATCCCAGTGAATCCCACACGCACACACGCACACACGTTTATACGCACTCCGGCAGCTAAAGAATTGACTCGATTGAAGAGGAAAAATTGATAGTTGTCCACAACTTGGAGTTAAAATAGACTCAACGGTACTCCTCAGCACACCAGCGAGGAAAGAAAATCAAGGGAAAAAAGAGCGAAATATAGATACAGTCAACCAATATGAGTTCATCAACACACTCTGCGAGGCTTTCTACGGGGAAATTGTGCGCAATCGTGTGAAATTCAGGTCGCTCTAAATGTTACCATGGTGAAATTCAGGTCACTCTAGTGTAACCATGGTGAAATCCAGGTCTATCTAATGTTACCATGGTGAAATCCAGGTCATTCTAATGGTATTACTATGGGTCCGTATGGGAGTATGGTTGCACTGGCCAGCAGCTCACTGAAATTTGTATCGATACGCATCATCATCAATCTAGCAATATTACTACAACTACTTCTACTACTGAGAGAGCGCGAGGGGATGTGGGGAGTGAGAGAGAGAGAGAGAAATGGAAAGATGGAAACAAAATTGCACTGGGGAAGGAGGTGGGGTAGATATTAGAACACTATGGGGTGCAATTCCTGGTGCAGTGGGCGGGGAGGGGGGCATTAGTGTGTGGTATGCCACCATGGACAGCTGGGCCAGAGACAATCTAGAAACTAGATGCAGTGGCATGACAACGCACCGCACGGAACTCACTGTAGCGGGCTGACAGCATAGATCTCTGCGGCGCAGAAACTGCCGTAGCACAAGCGCGCAACGTTCTCAAGCCAAGCTCTGCAAATTACACGCCTTGTTTTCAAGCTATGGGGGGGGGGGGGCAGCATAGGAAGCGGGCGTCATATTGGACAGGATATCTGCGTCACAAAACGTAACTCGCGGTTAACTGAATAATCACTACCGACGAGGGAAAGAAAATTCTCAAGTTCAATTTTCAACAGCGTCGGTATCAGCAGCGTATCGCAGTTCACTGGCCATCTTCTCTCCTCTCAGGAACATGTCCGTCTCAAGGATATTCTGAAATTGCTCAACATCTTTGTAGTTCAGACAGAACGGGTTTTCGCAGTCCCGTTATCTGCACACACGAAGGTCACGTCGTCATGAGGACTCCTGTGGAAATGTGAAGTGCACCTCGAACCAGCAATGGCAGTCGAACAGCGTCGGGTGGCGTGGGTTCTCGTGTCCCCAGCTCGACGTCAGCGATATGCGGCAGTACTGGAGGTCCAGCGTCCGTGGCACGCCACCCTCGTTCCTCTCGTACCACCGTCGCACCTGGTTGGCGCGCGCCCGGTCGAATATCTTGAACGATCGGCCGCTCTGTATCTTATGCACCTTCTGCTGACCGCCAGGCTGGGATAACGTTGGACTCTGTACGTACACGGAGTACTGCGAGCGATTGTACAGATATACGGCCTGGAAGGATTTCCGCCAGAGCAGAAACCCGCGGCCGACCTTGCGCTGCCGATCCTCGACGCCGCGCGCCCTGTCGCGGTTGCGTATCGTGCGCAGGTTCAGCGCGTACACGCTGCTGGGGTCCGGAGTCGGCATGGCACTCTCCTCGTCGCCACGGTAGAAGACTTCCATGCGTGCCGCCGACACCTGCTCGATGCGGCCAACACGCGTGTTGAACTCGCCGTAGCGCACCATCATCCACGGGCTGCTGGACACGCTCCGCGTGATCACCGGCGTGTCCCGGCTGCAGCTCCGCCGAGAGCGCGCTCCTGTCAGTAACAACACACACACACACACACACACACACACACACACACACACACACACACACACACACACACACACACACACACATACGAAAGACAGCACAATCATGAATGAGGTCAAAATCAACTCGGGCGCTGAGCCAAAGCTCATAGCTCATATCCATGAGATCAAAACCGGTAGCATTTACAAGTCTACTAGAGGCAGAATGCATGGATCGCACCCCCCCCCCCCCCCACACACACACACATTTTACTACACTTCTAGTTGTGAAGATTGCGATGGACAGAAATCACTTCACAGTCCACTGACGGATTTACAAACATTGTAGGAATTTATTTTGCCCCGGTACATGGAGCTGAAATGACCCAAAAACGAGAACATTCAAAACCAATAGTAAAATGGTAAACCGCGGAACGAGTGGCGATAAAGAGGTTACGCAAACGAGATCATCGCATTATGCTTCGTATGCAGTGACAAGCCAGTGCTAGTTTTCATTCAGTGGCATACTAGTACTCTGTACTCGTGTGGGCGTATCACCTAGCTGCAGCTACTCATCACCTAGCTGCAGCTACTCACAGTCTCTAAAGTATAACTGTGATGTTACAGAACTGCCATTCGGTGGACTTCGCCATCTTGCAGGTGCAAGCGGGAGCTTTGCAGCATTACACAGAACAACTGCAATCCTGCAGTAAGGCAATACTTGCACGGGGCATGGGGCACGTGCCCCCCCCCCCCCCTAAAAATGTCGGTCTAGGTGACATAAGGACTATGAGCGACATGCACCGGCCATCCTACACATATGCGGTCGTGCACCCCCATAAAATGGGGGACCAGTTACGCCCCTGCCATACATTCTTCCACGGAACGCCAAGATCACATCCATAGTACACACTTTGACACTACAGTCCATTCATAAAAAGATGGGTCCTGGCTCTGGCGAGCTCCCGTATTTGGCGATTTTTCGTGATTTCATCGTACACAGTGCAGTGCTGCGAACTTTGAAATTTGAAAAAGGGTCCAAAAAGGGTGCCTGAACTGGGGTTTGAACCGCAGAATGCACTGTTGCAGGCGGGGTCAAACGGCCTGGATTTTGATGGTTTTTCCCAATTCAGTGCTTTTGGGGCAAAACCTGGCCGAAATCCTATTCTTGCTATGGCTTGCTTTTTGGACAAAAAAACTTCAGAAACATAATTGGAAGAGGATTCCATATGGGATTGCAGAAAAAAATTCTAAAAAAACTCAACGTTTGACCCATTTATGGCCAAAAGCTAGAAGTTCATTTTTTTCTGAATGGACTGTAGCACCGAAGTGCCATACGAGGTAAGTCACCGTCCCCACTTGCGGGGGGGGGGGGCGGGGGGGGAGGGGGGTAGAGGGTAGCCACAGCTAAATCCATGACCAGGACTAGCAGGAGGCCGTGGCCTGCATATTCTATTTTGTTTCCTACGCTAAAGTCGTGGCCTCCCTTCCTCAGCCTCATAAGTCTGGTATATGTAGTCACTGCATAAGTGGAAGCCCCCCCCCCCCCCCCCCAACACCAAGAAGTGGGTACACTCCATGTTCTGCTTCAAATACTTTTTTGAAAAGTTTCACAAGCAAACTTTCGTGCCCCCTCCCCCTTGCCATCATGACAGTGTGTGTGTGTGGGGGGGGGGGGGGGGGGCTCTGTTTACTGGTACTGCTAGGTTCTAACTCAGAGAAGAATGCTGTCATCTAGGCTGTGTCAAAACACACCATGTTCATGAACAGAGACAACTTTTTACGACTTTTGTAGCAACACATTTCAGATTCTTTTTGTACATATCAGCGTGTAGTTTGCGATGATTCCAACAGCATTTACGCGGAGGTTTCACAGTGGCCTCCTGGGATTGCTTCTCCAGCGTATTCCGGCACACCAGCTCTCTTATCTACGCTATCACTACGCTCCGTTAGATGTGCCATGTAAGGTAAACACCAGCAACCGCCAGCAAGTGTTTCCTGCCAAATTTCCTTCCTCGCTCTGTGTCCACGCCAGGCGAGTCTCGCCCAAAGCAACCCCCAGCAAGAGCTGTCCACTGGTCATGCCTGTTCAGCTCCGCGGATGGTGGCTGATGGTGTACAAAATTACAAATACAGTCCTACACCAAATACAGTTCTATACATGCCAAGAGGGCACAGGAGAGGGGGAAACAGACATGCAATGCATTGTGCAGGGCAGTATGGGGTGTGATGGAGCAGACCACCCGCAGGCATAGTGCAAGCTTGTAATCCTAGGCCAGACAGTGACAACTAACACACATTGTCACCCAACTACATGATTGCAGTACAACTTGCGCCAATGGGAGCTGCTTGCAAGCCCAATCCAGGAACTGAATTTCTACACTGGCACGGCGTTTAGTGTGTACAAGGAACATGTCCTCATCTAGTCACAGACGCGCGCAACATATGGAGAACTGGAGGCATAGTCTAGTCAACTGGGTTACAACCTGCCATACCTTGTAACTCACAAACGCACAGAACATGCCAGATACTGGATACACAAAGCCACTAAAATAATAGATTTCAGTCACAAGGACGCCATACCGGGGCCTGTACAAACACATAGGGCGATGGCCTGCCACCACGACAGGAACACCGACCAGGGAAAACAACTAGCAATGAGTACAAAACGAAATGAAGCAATACGAATACGTTACAATACGCGCCTGTAACGTATCGCTGTTGTGCACAGCAGTGGCGCTCCACCACCAAGGCAAGTGGGGAAGGTTGCCGGCCTGCCACTCACATGCCAATGCCAGGTGAACATTGCCAACACGCCCAACACATTGCCCTGAGTCGGCGAACAAGATGGTCAAACCCGACAGCAGGGGAGTAGGGGTGCCGCCAAAAAGAAACGTTCTCCCGACCATGCCCAGAGGGATATAGGATGCACCCCACCAATCACAGGCACCGACACATTAACATATTTACACCCTGATAAGATTTTCACTGCTAGCATCACCGCTGGGAGTTATCACGGCAGGGGAAGGGGCAGCCATCACCCGATCAGTGAAACAAAGGTGGAATTGTTATGGGTACTACTAGTAGTAGTAGAGACGCACAGTAGAAGCAGCAGCTTGCTACAAGACCAGATACTGTTTCAGCACTTATCACCTCCTCACACTACAGCTTGCTGCACTCAACAGTAGGGCAGTGTTACACTCTAGAGAATGCAGAGTAGAGATAGGATGTGCAGTGTGCTGGACATCTCCATACATCTAGTTGCACTTCTCTGACACTAGAGGTATTATCACTAGCCTAAAAGTAGTAATAGTTGAAACCTTGGATTTTTAGAGATTCCTTGGCCATACAGAGAGAGAGAGAGAGAGAGAGAGGGGCAGAACAGCCCGTTTGTAATCTTGCAAAGGCCTGGTGAAAACCTTGCTCTCATCCAACAACCCTTTGCCTAACCAGATAACTGATGTAAGCACAACAAAATTCCTGAGAGAAACACTTCAAGGAGTGATTCCGGCACATAACACACACCCAGCATCTTTCCCACTTGTAGCTCCGGCCAGAATCCCAAATGAGCATTTCAGCCTTCAGGTGTCAGAAGTGGAAGAAATTAGAGCTGCTGCTGCTGCTATCCGTAGTGATTTACTCCCCATCCAGGTATACACATGCCGTTAGTGGACGCAACACTTATGTCCGTGCACTTGGCCGAGCCATTAGCAGCACTCCCTGGCTGATGGTCCAACAATGCTCTGAATGACCAGCGGATTGCCAGCATCTGCTGCTCCAAGAGGCATCCCTTGTGATCCTGATGCCACCCAAGCACCCTGCGAACCATTATCTGCGTCAAGATAGTCACGCTGCATTCTCCTGGAATGCCAGCCAGCAGCACTCTGTGTTGCCCCACTGAACTCTCCTAAGCAGGCACTCACACCGACCAGCAGGTCATCCCCGCAAACACACGGAGTATAAGGGCCCAGCAGATACACACTTTCAATTCATCATCAACTCCCAAGGCCAATTTCCTAATGGACACAAAATGAAATTTCTTTCCAGGTGTAAGTGTAAGGGATTGGCAGCAGAACGCAAGCTGGAAATTCTTCCTAATTTACTCCATTTATGACAGGAACAAATCAAATGCAAGCCCACACTGTCAACCACATTCCAAAGCATCAATGTGTCAGGACGACCAGATTGAGCACCCAGGCTTGGGGAGTATTTTCTCCTAACTGGGTATCAGCGCATCCATGCCTGTTTTGAGTGTAGATTGGTGATCCCATCTTGACTCCTGACTTGTCAAGACAGCAGAACAAGCCTGTCAACTCGTGAACGCTACGTGCTGAGCAAGGCATCTTGGCCCCAGCTCAAAACGCGGGACAGTCCACTATCATTAGTCATTGTATTTTTGTAGACAACATCTTCAGACTTCACCGCACTGAAAGACCTCTACTCGCACACGATTTATTTGTACTACAGTACATCGCGTGTTCAACTACATGTAGGAACAGTTCAGCGGCAGGCAAGCTGTCAGCGCGGCACGTGGACACAATCTTTTCACAATCTTGACTCGACACACCGCAGCAGGACGTCCGAGTCGTGAGCGCAGCTTCACAGCCAGCCCAGCACATTGCCACACAGCCCAGGCGCAGGATTCTCTCTTCATTGAGCCGTCAGCACGGGCACAGGACCAGATTGCGTCTTTGGCGTGTGTCGAGTCGGCTTCACACGTCCCAACAGCAGGTCGAGCATACAGTGCACGACCCTGATTGCTCCGCTCAAAGCAACGACAACGGCGCACAGTAAATCTACACACTACGAGTCCGAGCATTTCGACGAGTTGGCAACACGACCCAACGCAACACTACACAGACAGTCACAGAGCTAAAATTTTCCTGCACCACTCAAAATATCATAGGCAACAAAACATGATACGCAAGCATTTTTTGGAGTAGCTCACCTGAGCTCCGACTGTCGGTTGTCAGCGACGAATATTCGGCGCTATCGGCAGTTAGCGACGCTCCGAGATCGGACACGGATACGGAGATGGCAGAGTCTCCGGACGCGCCACCGGACGACGGCAGCGCGACTGTCTGTACTGCTCGCCGACCTGGAGTATAGCAGACACACACACAGTACACGCGCGCACGCACAAGGAGCGACACGAAAAGATGTTACGAGATGTACTAGTAACCACAAACACACCACTGACTGTGGTTCAGTGCGGAGCTGCGCTGGGCCAGCATGCAGCAAGCCGCAGACTCTAGGAGCGTTCCCCCACCAGCATACACGGGCACTCACAAATTACAAGAGACATGTCAATGAACCATCCTCTTCCACCTTGCGCCGAGATGGCCAACACGTTCGTTCGCCAACTGGAATGAGCTCGCACTCCCACAGTCTGCGTGCACACCGCAGCACACAAGCAGCCAGCCCCCCGTCCAGACCCATCGCTCATCTAGCACAAGTCCAGACGGGCAGACCTACACACGCACACACCGAGTGCTACTGTGCATTAGTGCAAAGCTGCAAATCACAAACGACCGACGACCGATCGTCCCGCACAAGCCGTCTGGAACATCGCCGAGGGCATCACACTGTCAGTCAGTCTAAATGAGTTTTCGTAGCAGAGCGGCACGCAGCACATACATGCTTCACAGTATGAGACAGTCCGCGAGTCAGTATCATTCTGTTTGACTTTGTACATCGGCAAGAGTCATCACGCACAGACACACACACACGCACACAACTGGGGCTCACCATGGTGGTCGGGTAGAGTTGTTCGTTCCGTATTCCACAGAGTCCTGCCATCACCACCTGGCCTCAGTGGCTCTTCCTCTGAGCACACGAACACACACGCACACGCGAGCGCGCCCAAAAATTCAAGGACAGCACATATCACGCTGTTGGAGCAAAACAGACACGCATACACGTGCCGTCACTCACACAAGCACGCAAAAACTCCGCGTACACGCACCGATCACCCGCGATGCTGCGCATAGAGTTCGCTAGAAAACAATTTACTCACATTTCACGAACATGCTGAGCAGCAGTACAGTGTTGGGGTGGAGTGGTGTGTGCGCCACGACACGATCGACTCGTAAACTGACAAAAATGTTTGCAAAGTGTGACCGACGACAGAGGCGTATGAATCAAACACTGTCCGTACAGACAAGAGAAGACGCATCGCCAGCGAGATGGTCAACTCCTCGCCTCGACAGGGCTTCACATCATGAATTTTTGAGAAGCACTTGCACACACACACACGCGCGCGCACACACACACACACACACAGTTACAGACACGCACGGAGACAAACACGCACGATCCGACACACACGCACGCGCGCATGCCGCGTCAAGACTCACCAGTAGGTATTGCTCTGGCGAAATGGTATGGACTGCAGCAAACAAGTCCATCAGAACGCCCTGCACTGCTCTCGCCACCACTCGGGCAAACAGCAGCCTCCTGATCCAAGCGATGCAACTCCGCAGTACTCTCCAAGTCTGGCCAACGAAAGGCGCGCGCACAGAGCAACTGTGGGGACATTTGCTGGCCTGCTACTACCGAATCCTCCTGCGACACCAGCCAACAGTGTCTCTCCACATCGCCATTGCGCAGCGAGGACACGTAGTCCTTCACCTCCCTGCCATCACGACTCTTCAGCAGAGCTTTCCAGGACTTGTGCGCCGCCTCCTGCCACTGGCGCTGCTCCGGCGTGCACTCGCTACTGCGCTGATCCCACAAATCGCGAATCAGCGAACCCTTCTTGAGCGACAGCATGCTAGAAGCGGCGCCTCATTCACCTGCACCACGCACAGCAGCAGCAGGTTCTTGCTGGAAGCAGGTATTGCGCGCTGAACTCATGAAGGAACCGATCCGACTGGACACTTCTCAGCTCTTGCTGGTGCTGATGTAGAAGATCACCGTCCAACTGCATCGCTTCTTCGCGACCAGTACGCATGCAGTGCGCATCCGTTACAGCAGGCAGTACTCCTGAGGTCTGCTGCGCCACCATTGCAGCCAGCACCAGAAACACAACACACCAGATGAGCGTGAACTCAGCAAGCAAGCCAGCTTTTGACCAAGCAGCCAGCTCAGGCGGCCAGCAGCAGTAGCAGCAGCTCGCTCTCTGTATGAACCAAACTGCTGCCTGCCTGCCTTGGCTTTCACTGCTGTTGCGCTGCTGCTGCTATGCTGCGCTCTTCTCAGTCCAGACACGTCGCGGGCTGCTAGTGCATTGGTTTGCCAGGCCCTGCCTGGTATGGCAGCACGCTGCTGCTACACACTATGCGCCAAAGCATGTACAGCAAGAGATGACCAGCTTGGCCAGTTTACAGTGCGCTCCCCTCCAGACGTGTTTTACGTGAAACACATATGTTTCGACGCTGATTGGTGCGCTAGGCACGTGACCGTCCTTTGCACTGCCTTGTCACCACATGGTATGTAGCCCAACGCAGGTGCTGGTCGACCGGTATTTGCGACAGAGTGAGACGCTTTCCGACGCTCGACACCACACAGCCTGCACTGGATCTACAGCAAAGAGAGAGGTACAGAGTGCAGGCAGCAGCTTCCTTCCTCTCACAATCTTTCCCCCGCTCGCTATCTGGCCTGACGCTCGCAGGGATGCATGCATGCAGTCGCAGCACATGAGCACGGGCAACCGCTGATGAATGGTGTGCAAGATAGAGAGAAAAACGGCCGAATTGCAAGATGTGGAATATCGTTTGTGTCGGTGGTTTGTCGTCGACACGTTGTTGAAGAACACTTTCCAGGTTGAATCCATCTCCGTAGCATGTGGCAGAATGATATCTGTTGTTTAGCGATGGTGGGGAAGGATTATCTGCGGCTGTGGTATTTCGGACGTGACGCTAGCAGCTTCTGCATTCGACCATTTCGTGAGTAAAAACGTGTGTCCTCGTTTTATGACCAATCTGGTGTCTTTTCTTGTTTGATATGCGAGTATGAATTGGTGTTGAATGCTGCATATTTCTGTCGGAGTAATGCTCGGTGATATGGGAATGACGGGGAAGGAGCACATGTGACGCTCGTTGAAAGTAGGACATGTTTCCGTGCTGGTAGTGTTGTACAGCAATGTGTTGCTTCTGCTGTGTTCGTACTGCGTCGTCTTCTGTCGTTCTGACTCTCTGAGTTGCTGGTGCCACGAAGGCCGGAGAGACGGGCCGACAGGCAATCTGGGCAGTTAGCGTAGGACGTGTCTGTTCGCAGGCAGGTGGTGGTGTCGCGGCCTGGTGCCCTGTGTGTTGCTAGCTGGTTGTGTCACACACAGATGCAGTGTGTGTAGATCTACGACCGTGTGGATCTTGCTTTTTGATCTAGTACTGCCAGTGTGTGCTCGTAGAATCTACTAGTCGTAGATCTAGTAGATCTACTGGCCGGGCCAGTTCTGTTGTCTGTAATGAACATGGCTGCACACAGGTCTTCGGGCCGGGTTCGGGTGAAGGCTTGTCCTTGGCCCTACGACCCTAGTCTTTGAAGTTTGATCGCGTGTGTGCGCGGGGGTCCAAAAAAGACGACATCGATCAGCTTGTGTCCAGTCAGTTAGTATCTGGTTATAGATATCAGTGTGGGCTTCTCCTGGATTTAGCCCAGTGCCAGTGTGTATGTCAAGTTTTCTTGACCATCCAGATGATCAATCGCATGTTGTCGCAACTGGTGACTTTTCCTCCAGTGTGCTCTGCCGCCCGACTCGTTGGATGCTTTCATCTCCTCCTCGGTGCTCGTGTCACTGATTATGTGGAGTGTGCGTTCGAGAACGGTTGTAAAGCTGGTGCAAGGGACGCTCGCGGATAGTTCCCAGCTTTGCAGCTGGCGGCGAGCCGACACGGCGACAGGCAGCGAAACCTTGTGCTTGTGGATAATCCTGGCTTGACCTCGCGGCCTCTCTCACAAGCACGGCTGAAACCTGGGTCGGGGCGCTCTGCGACACATTGACCTGTCGATGTCGATGGAGTGCCGTCGCTAGCGCTATTTACGCGGCATTCCCATGCTATGTTCAGGTGTGTTCAGACATAATTTTGACTGACCAGTACCAGGTATACTGCTACTACTAGTACTAGTACTAGTCACTACTAGTACACTACATGTCGACTATTATTAATTTTTTTGTATGAGTGTCACTGAAATCCGTGCCTGATGGTGAGGCGGTGCTGTGACAGACAGCGCGAGTCGCGAGTAGAATAGAACACGTTTTCGGCGTGAGTATGAGTCCAGTGTTGTGCCTGCATGGCCGCGGTGTAAAACACCGACATGAGTGTATGATATGTGGCACGAAAGATTATCGCAGTGGCCGGTCGAACTCAAAGACTTGCAAACTGTCCTGGCGTTGACTGTGGACATGGACACGCTCACCCTGTTCCTGTCGTGCCGTTTGGCGTTTACACGGCGGCCTGTAGCCCAGATGGTCATGTCAGCAGGAGGCAACGAGGTACATTTCAGACGTTGCCACACCAAAAAATTATCTACTGCTCTATGCTAAAAAGAGTGCCGAAATGCTGCGAATATATTATGACTTTCTGCGGGGCCAAACAGGGTCAGGGTGGCTTCCTCGGGATCGGGCGCTCCTTGCGCAAAGGAGAAAGATTTGTAGCGCATTGTGTTTGACTCGTCGACTGGCATGTATATGTAGCTGCACGACAAGTGACAATGTGTAAACATGGTCGCAGCTCTCTGTGATGGCGTTGCGTTTCCAGCTTCCCCGTGTGTAGCAAGGTGGTCGACTTGTTCAGGCCAACTCGAAGAGGAAGTGTTCTGGAGATCGATGAGCTTGTGTAGAACAAGTGATCGAGGAGTAGAACATTGACGGCTGCTGCTGGATATAGTCGCCACGTGAATTCCTCAGGACGAAAAATGTTTATAAGCCATGTATCAAGGTGGAAGTTGCTGCACGCCACCTGTTCTGAACAAGCAAGCGGTCAAAAAATAATTGAGTTTTTGATAGACAAACGCACTTCTGGAGTTCTGTGCACGAAGACACTGACTGTTGTCCCCAATCGTGTGCATTCCTGCATTGGGATCTTTCGGCTCCGCTAGCACTAGCAGCAACGCGCACCTCGCATCACACTTCGTTGATGGCACAGGAAATGCCACACTTCATGCACAAGCGCCTTGGTGTAACAGCTGGTCGTTTCTTTCTCGCCTGGGTGTGAATTGTTGTGTAAAAGCTCGAAAAACACCGAATTACGATGTTGCAAATTTCGCCTGAACGGATGTAACTCAATGTAGGATATCACCACCCTTGTGTAAGTCAGATTTCATGTGGATTCACTTAACTTATTCCTTCCCTATGCCCCCAAACCACAGCTAAGTTCTGCAAAAAAGTGAAGTTCAAGCGTCCAATACGCAAACTATTTTCCGTCATATGGGCCTTAAAAGAAGTGACGTATCAAGGCGCGAAATCTGGGAACTATTTTCCACTATAGTTTTGGACATTGATCCTATGAAATGCCGCTCTGGATGTTTTATAACAATCTAGTAATTGTGTAGGTCAACTGTAAATAACCAAGGTGGCGACAGATTGAGTCTTGTAATGGGATGTAGTTTGGGACATTGTGCATGTACATGTGACACTCCTGGTAATGCAGACATCATGATGGTGTCCTTCTGCCCTGAAGGCTAATATGTTGTAATGTGACGAAGGTCCACTCAGGTAGATTTCATGCCGCTCTGTGGCCTTGGCCTGAGCGAATCTCAACTTTCTCCCCCTGACCCAGCTGGGACGTGACCAATTGTCACACAAGTGTCCTGTTTTCCTGCACCACTGAGAGTGACATGTTTTGCACTTATCCGCCCCGAGATTGCTGTTGTCACAATCCTCCTTCTCCCTTCAGTGCAAAGTCAGAGCCGTGCCACATTGGCCGAGATAGTATAGGTTTTGTGTTTTCTCAGTGTGGAAACAGTCCAGCGGGAGCAGGGAGCGGGGAGCACACAATGGAGAGCACACAATGGAGAGATCATCTGTAGACGTCTATACAGTGACACTTTGATTGCTTCAATGTTTTGTCTTTTTGTCAATAGCTGGTAGGAACTGACAAGGCAGTGAAAGTACTGTCGGTATCCCGGCACTCAAATCTGAACTACTTAACGCCCCATACCTATGACCATAATGCACTGCATTGAAGTTGAATGCTTTCTGTGCTGCAACTTTTATCATAGCTTCAGTGGACTAGAGTGGATATCCTATTTTTCTGGCTGTAAGTCGGCCTTTTATGACCAAAAAATGAATTAGAAATAGGTTACTTGTAGTCGACTTGCAGCCGGGGTTTTACCACTACTCAAGTCTACTGATCATTTTGTTCTACCACTACTCAAGTCTACTGATCATTTTGTTTTACCACTACTGATCATTTTGTTTTACCACTACTCAAGTCTACTGATCATTTTCATATTGAACTGGTAAATCCAGGCTCCAAGTATTGGGGGTCGACCTATCTGGTATCGACTTATAACCGAGGACGGCTTATAACCGGCAATGCACGGTAACTGAACTGATGGAACATACGTGGACCTATAGGGCTTGAAAGTGCTACGTCACTCCATAGCAATGGCATAGCAACAATTTGAAAAATTCGAAAACTGGATCCACCTGGATCCAGTTTTTGTATGGATCCAAGCACATTTCAAGCGGTCTCACTCACAGCAAGGTGATGTTGCCAGTGAAACTGACTGATTTGGCTAGTGGGGGCGGGGTGACAACTGGTGGCGAAGTAAAAGTTACACCTGCATACGACATGAGTGGGTTGCTATGCACCCACATACTTAGGCAATAGCAAAGTCACACCTTAGTGGATCCAAAATAGAAATCTGATGTCAATTTACTACTCCCAGGCCGTTTTTGACGTCATCACTTTCAAGCCCTATTGTAATTGCTGATAAAACCCCTATCGGTTCAAACTCGGTCAATACTAGCAATAGTTACTTTCTTTCTATCAACATGGGTTGCAGAATCCTGCAGACTTGCAGACAGTTATGGACGGCAAATGGCCTAGTGTAACTGGCTTGCGTTGGTGTTGTATGGGACGAGAATGGATGTAGCGTTAGTCTAATACTGTAAAACACGATGTTTTCGGTGTAACTTTAATTTCGGTGATTTCGGTAGAGAAAGCCAGCACCTTAATTTAGATTACACCTAAAAGGCACCAGAGTATTTCCTGCACACTGTATGTGCAGGAAATGCTGGTCACCTAAGTCTAAATTACACC